AGTAGTAAATAAGAACAAAATGCCTTTGAAGCAGGATGCCAGGAGCTGATCAGTCCACCTACCTGGTGGAAGAACACCACTTAGAGCCAGTGATGTGATGAGTACTAGCTTACTAGAGACAAACCTGGGCAAGGTTCCCTTTCTAAATCAAATACACAGCTGTGGACAGGACAGGAAAGGTCTGTCTGCTCACCTTGCTCATTGTAGCAAGTCTTCCTCACTAAGGGCCATCAACACCTGTAGAAACAGAACTTTTCTCTCTAGAAGCTTTTGGCATTAATCGTGACGTTGCTTTCTTCCTTGGCCAGCAAACTGCTCGTGTTTCTACTGTCATCCCTACGTGTTGAAATGGTAGTTCAAAAAATTGATTAGTACTGCTTTCTGTAATTCCTATTTTGTTTTGTGAGCAGTTGTGAAACCAAAAGACTATCAAGTCTGATTTCGTAACTGGCTGTCTGACAAACTCTGTATTAGAGGCAAGTAACAGAGGAAAAATATGGTGAAGAATAGCAGACACATTTACTCAGAGCATCTAGGAAAATTCCTGTGCAATCACATGTCCCTTTCCAACCCCCAAAAGGCTCAAGAGGAACAGAATTCCCAGCATTAGCTTTTTAAGTGATTTAAGTTACAAAAGCTCTATATTGATGCTATTCAGGCCTTCTCACCAAAACTTCCATAGTTACTGTAGCCCATGCTGTACAAAACCAGCCATGTTGGGTCTAACCAAAAGTCCATTTAGCCCAGGCACCTAGCCTGCGGCGACAGACAGATCTTACTGCTGGAAGCAGCCCATTTGATGACCGTCACACTATAAACTTTTAAACAAAGCACTGAATACAACACACACAGACCCAAAAAGCCTGGTAGTTATGTAGAGTCGCTTGGCCTCTGTCAGGTGATTTCTTGAGCTAGATTCTGTCTACTTACTAGGTCCCAAAGGTTCGCTTTCTCAAGTACTTTTCCAGTCTTCCCTTGAACCTTTGTAAACATTTAGCACCAACAAAATTCCTGTGTCATGGTCTCCTACTAGTTCTGTTTGATGCCTCCTAGGTCAACTGAATACAATCAAAACCATAAGGTTACAATTCTATGAAATTATTTGCACAGGGAGAGACAGCCCTTCTAGGGAACTCATAATTTACTGTGGTACTTTTAAAGACAAGGTTATCCAAAAATTAGGTTCCAATTTCAAAATGTAAGCCATCCTTACAGAGCTACTGATAAGGCATACCTCTGTACTAAATATTTATATAATGCTGTAACTTAACGTAAATACATGTAACTTTAAAAGTCTGTGTACATGTCTCTGTTTCGTTCGTGTCTCCATTTCTTGTGAGTTTTTACTTTCTCAATATACCACTTCTGCCATGAAACACAGAGTCTTGAATGCAAAGCAGAGCTCACTGCTGGCAGATAGAAAGCAAAAGAAAGAGTAACAACAGGAAAAAAAAAGTACAGATTCAAAGCTATGCTGGGAAACAGGGTAAATCTTGCAAGTCCCCACAGTTTCTGGTATTTAATTGTAAAATAAATGCAAATAAAGCTGTATTTTATCACAAGGTTAATGCATATTAGAGAGCATTTGTATCTATGTAAGGATTATAAGAATATGCATGGACAACCTAGGAACTGGAACACCTATATTCAACAGGAAGAATCACCTTACCTAATACAAACACTGATCTCCAAGAACCTTCCTAATCTTTCTCTGTGAAAGATGAAATTTTCACTGTCACTGTGATTCCAAAACTTTTCAAAATTATATCAGGCTACAAGGTCTACCAAAAGTCCACCTTTACTCTATTGAATCAGTGAAACTTACAAAAAGACACCATAAAAAAGGGGCATTTTTTGGAGATGCAGAAAGACACAAACAATACTGTCCTGCAGTTACTTAGAAACCCCAGTTTCACAACAGATCATATGTAGTGTTAACTGTACACAAAGCAGAATTTGTAGTATGACTGGTTACATAGAAGAGCAATCTGCAACTGAAGTAAGCAAGAATCTAACAGAAGAGCTAGAACTTGTTTTAATTATTGGCACACCCCCCCTACCCTCCCACCCTGCAAAGGGGGAAAAAAACCCTCAAGAGTTAGGAATTCAAGCGTCCATTTTCCTACCAAGCTTTAACATGGCACTGCAGCCTTACCCTAAGAGGCAACGGAATCACACTAGATCTACAGACTTTCACTGGGAATCCCAATTCAAAATTGCAATGTAAGAGGGAAGACGAGGGAGGACAAAGGTAATCTGCTCCAGAGCTAATTATCTAACGCCTATGCGCAAGCAGAAGAGGCTGAAGTAAGCAGTGCAGTCAAGCATTATTCAGGAGGTAAAAGTATCTGAAGAATGGAAGTATACAAATACAATTATTATCCCATCTCTGTTATATCAACTGTAATTGTATAAGAAACAGGCATTGTTTACTTTCACATTTACAACTTTACCTCAATAAGAAATGTATAGGACAGGCTCCTCAGAAGAACAACATACTGTGTTTTTTGGTGTTTGTAGTTGGGTTTTTGTTTGGTTGGTTGGTTTTCAGTTTGTTTGGTTTGTTTTTAAAGAAAGAAGACATGAGAACATAGTTTTTCCTGTAATACCTTTAGGCAAAAAATGGTTAGAAACACACACAAAACAGTCAAGACTAATTTTGATATACAAGTTGCATATTTAGAAATTGTTTTCTTTCCATTATTGATGTGAAGATGCAATCCTATTTCACAGATTAACCAACAAATGTCATGCAAAGAGCACTGTGTTTCTCTGCACACATATGGCCCAAGCCATTTTAGTTGATTACATGTAGCAAGCTAAGTTCAGCCAGACTGAGACAAAAAAAAAAAAAAAAAATATCTCAAAGAATGAAAACAAGCAGGGGAAAAAAAATCCTCACTTTTCCCATTTTGATGACCTCCTGTAAAGGATGTATGCTAACACTCAAAATAGGTCATTCACAAAATCATGCTGGGAACAGATGAAGTTGGTTCAGATGCCTGTTAGTTTCCTTCAAGAAACATAACTTGCACCAAGATACCTGGATTCTCATCCAGCCTTAGCTGCCCCAAGAGGTGGGATTTCTTAAGACAAACAACCTAAAAATCTCAACCTCATGCTAAACTACATCTTCCCTGTTTTTATTTTAAACACTCCCTTGACTTTCCTTCACCCTTACCGCACCTTCTAGTTTTGCTTTCTTCCCATTTTCCCTGAGCTCCACTCATCCTATCTATCCAGAAATGACAACAGGTTTATCTTCAATAAACAGACAGCTTTCTGAGTTCTGTTTTCTCTCTCCCTCTTCAGTTTGTTTTCCTGTTCTTAATTCTACATAATGGCTAGAATTTTAGTTCTAGCTAAACGGCTAAAGCTTCTAATGGCTTTCAAGACTCCTAAAAATCTCCTGTCTTCGGTTTTACCACGGCAACTTTACTCACAAGCTCCAATGGCAGTCTGCAATTAAATACACTAAAACTTGGACAGCAACTCCTGATTAAGGGCTACAATTACTAAAAACTACACAAGGGTGAGTGAACAGTACAGAAAGGAAAACATTCTCCCCTGTGGCATTTTGGACATTTTTTTTTGCAAGTCACTGACCTCCAGCTGTGATAATACTCGCACTTGGTTTTTCCCAATATCTGTCATGAAAGGCTCTCAAAGAACAAGGGCACATTTCATTGCCAGCAGTATTTCATAACAGGAAACTTCTGTCTTGAAGGTCTCGACTTTGTTTCCCAGTTCTTGGGGATGAATATCCAAATTAGAACATTAAGTAGTCTTATATGTATGACGTTAGCATTCAGATTTAAGTTCCACAGTGCTGAAGTGGTACATAGTTACTTGGTTTTTCCATTTCTCCAATTCTTTATGAGGCCACCAAGGAAGCCTAAGTTACCATGAACTCAGAACCAGATACGAGACTTTAGCAAAACCAAATATACAGTCATAATTTAAAGTTAGTACATCAAGATTAGCCAAATCAGGTATCAGAAACAGAATCATATCTAATAACTGCAGGTTCAGTATTATTTAATTCAAAACAGCCTTTTGTTAAATGCAAATTAGTTAAGAGTAAGCACGTGCATCCAAAGAGCCAGTTCCACCATACTATCTCAACTAATTTAAACTTTAAAAAGTAACGCCACATAACTCAATATACACAGAAGTTCCGATTTCTTCATGCACTTTGTCAAGTTCAGAGCCATCAGGAAAAAACTTTACAAGATTTTCAGTTCATATTCAATACAGTATCATCCGTGAAATTATTATAAATAGATGTTCAATGAACTTGTATTCAAATAAGTGCTTTCTCAAGTCACAAGAGAACCCACTTAAATGTCTCAACTCTCCTTTATTGCATGAGCAACAATGTCTGTGCAGGATCACTTGCTCACACTTATACCAATTACATGTAAATTCTTGGTTTTCTTTTAAAAATAATCCTCATGTACTGATTGCTAGATTCTCTTTTAGATTTTTACCGCTTACGACTAACCAGTTTATTATTTTTGCTAAGGACCCTTTATTTCTTTCTAAGTACATAAAATGAATCCTATTTCACTATCAATATTTTTTCCTGTTAAATCTTGGTACAACAGAAGGTTTGAGGGATTATCTTAAAACACAGAATTTATGTCAATATTCAAACAGCAAGCACCTAGTTTTAGCACGAATAAGATAAGCCAAAAGGCAAGACATACCAAGGGAATTCTTTCCTTTCTCCTATTCCCTGTTTTTCACAAGCGTCCCTGCAAAATCATGCCATCTCTATTGCTGCAGGTTTCCTGGGATATATTTATAGAAAAAATAACGACAGATACTGTATTTTCACATCAGAGCCCAAGACCTTAATTGCTCTGAGTCATGACTTCCTGAACTCAAACAGGACTCTAATTTGTTTCAGGATAATCCAACCTCCTGGTCAAACCAGCAAAAAGTTTGATTAGCTTCCCCTCTAATACTCCATCATGAACAACAGAGTTTGGTCATGCTTGTTAATCTTTTGGTATTGTCTGCAGCGTATCAATTGCAGCATGAAGCAAAGCTGTCTAAACGGACAACAAAAAGCAGCACCAGAGAATAACCTTTGTGAAATACAGGAACAGCAGACAAACACAAAATACAATCAGACTGTGAGAAAATAAATAAAACATGAACCTCAGTGACAGACAGAAGGTGACAAAGCATAGGGAAGAGCGCAGCAGTCAAACTAGCATGGCACCAAATTTATTTGCTTGCTCTCTGCACCGTCAGGACAAGAGAGCTCTGAAAACATACATCAGACTCTACTGCAAGAACAATCACACTTTACTGCTGTCTGGTGACACCCTTGCCCCCCTCCCTGAGTAGCTGAAAAATAATTTTATATGCCAGGAAAAGATACCAGTCTTCCTCAGCTGGAGGAATGATCATCATGATACTGGATTTTGGAGAGGATAGGAAAATAAGAGGAAAGCCAAAGCATCTCTGCTTTGAAACAAGATTTTCCAGGTGTTTGCTTTATTCCTTTAGGGAAGACAGAAAAAAATGAGACTTTCGTAGCAAATGTAGGAAATGTAAATGAATGGGAGTATACGAAGTCTATTAAGTGAGCAAGAGAACGCAGAAGAACACTGCAGAAGCCCAATAGCTTTAATATAAACAGACAATAATTTCATGGAAATTCTGGTCTTCATCAATTAACAGCATTTTCAGTCAGAAAAAATTAGACAAAAATTCTGCTTCTTTAAATGTTTGCATCATCCATTTGAAAAAATAAAAACAGAAACCAAAGAACTACAGGATATTTTCTGCTGACATCATAAATATTATACAAATTCTCTTACCTCAAGGATCAGCCTCTTTCTTGATGCATCATGTATCAACAAATTTAAAGTTTAAAACCAGGGTAACTAGAAGAACATTTTCGAGATTTGGACTCCCTTCCCTCCAATTAAAATAGCTAGTGGTATCTTCATTTGTATGATCTTTTTCATAAATCCAGATGTTGCTTACCTGATGCCGAGTTCATGATGTTCTGCTGCACGGAAGGACTGGTGGGAGCTGTAACATTCATCTGGGAAAGCATGGCCTTTCTAGGATCTTGCCATGTTGTTGTTTGATCAATGTGACTATGACAAAAAAGAAAGCGGGAGTTAGGACAGTCATGCATTCACAACAATGACCTGCTAGCACAGAAAGTTTAACAAAAGCTTAAGCCTGCCAACAACAGCCACATTCAAAACCACGCAAGAACTGTTTGGATTATTACCAGCACTACTAGTAACAGTCAGATCCTGAAACTCTTACTCCAGCCACCACCACTTTCCCAAGAAACAGCCGTAGTGATCAGAGCTAGAGCAATGGTGAGATCAGGCTCAACACGAGTATCATCATCTAGACTGTTGAACCATAACTAGATGTCATACCCTTTAACTAAACATTCCCTTCCTTTTCTCATTGATTGTCATCAATTGTAAAGATTGTCATTCTTTAATGTGACTTCAGAGTCTTTCAAACCAAGCCAGTTATGTCTGGAATCTCAAGCACTGTCCAGTAACTTGGCATGATGAGCTCATATCTAGTGCCTAGGGAATTGTAATGAACTGGCTAGTGAGTAATCATCAAGAGCTCCCAAACTTTTTGTGCGTAGACCACATCCTCAGGTTATTTGATGAATTACTCCCCTCACCACTGACAACTGAACAATCTCTCTGTGGTAATTTAAGTAACCAGTCACACTAGAACAGTAATATAAAAGTGATGTGCAGCTGCCTTTCAACTTCATGTGAGAAGATGAGGCCAGCTGGACTGTCAATAACTCCAGTAGCCCCTCTGCGGAACCTAATTACAAAACTTTGGGAGCTTAGATCCATCTGTTTTGTAAAAACTGGAAAGTACATTCAGCACTGTCATTCACAAAAATATTCAATTGAATGAAAATACAAAAGCGTAATGAATCATTACTTCACCTCCTGCGTATGTGATTAGCATGTTTTGCTAATGAATAACAAATGCAGGCTATTCATAACAAGCATCAACGTTATCTCGATGCCATTAAGCAACATTGCTCTAAGTAGTACACGTAGACAAAAATAAAACTAATACACACCAAGCTTTGGCAACAAAGTTTGTGAGCGATTAATTTAGAGCTGGTATCAATTAAAACTCATAATTAAACAGTATTGTTATCAATTAGAATCCAATGCATCAACTTGATACCATTCTTTCCTTACATAAATAATCCCTAAAGTTACATTTTTGTGGATTACATGGAATGCCCTTTTTCATTTACTTCAGCAAAAACACAACATTTAAAGCTGCAATACAAATTCTACTGGTGATCTCAGTTCAAAACTAGGTAGTCCAACTCATACTTCCGCTTTGTATTCATGTCTTGCATTGTGGTTTTTATGTATCTTGGTGGACCAATGTGTATTTGTACTAAACTATCTAACAGGCTGTAAATTTCCATCGTCATGTTGGGATTAAATACTAACTGTGCAACTGTTTCTAATTCACAGTTTCTCTTACTTTAAAGCATATTCAAGTTTAGGAGCTGGTACTGTATTATTTTAGACACTCTAAAGGGATAAATAATTCAGATTTGGTCACCTCAACACCAGCATCTTTGTGGACACCAACATCTCAACCAACGAGAAACGAACCTAAATAAGCACTGTTGTAATTCATTTGATCAATTTAAGGAACATATTGAAGGTGAATCAGGCCTATTTTCTCCTTCAAGAAGGGAACCTAAGTTAATTAGGTCAAATACACGGACATTAGAAGAGATTAATCCCAAACTTTGTTTATCTATTTGCATGACTACAACATCGTAGAGCATTTGATCATAAATTAAGACTTTATCATAGGTCAAAGTGGACAAACAAAACAATCTTATTTTCTCCCTGCCCTAAGCAACTAATTGCTATGCCTAGGAACTTACTAAAGAAACTCTTGATTCCAATTAATAAAAATGAGCTCCACTGAATTGGTAAATGTTTTTAACATGTTATTTGATGTTCAAAAAGTTGGTATTTCCCCCCAATGTACTAAATTTTGTAACTACTTCATCATTTCAAAGAAGTGAGAATGAATAGATACAAATTCAGAAGACCACAGAATGGAGCAGTAGTCACCAAGATTACTTATGTTGAATTATTTATCACATTCTAATCACTGAAGGGACTTTCTGTCATAAGGTAAAAGGTAACATGAACTGTCTTTTAAAAAAGTTTTGGTTTAAAATATGTATATTTTCTCTAAACATGCACACTAGCAATTCCAGGTCAAAGAGTTACACACACTGTAGCATGGCCACAAAATAGGTAGGAATGTTATTTGTACAAAAATACAATAGTAAACAAAGTTCTACTTTGTCTGCGTGTGGCAACTACTGCCACTTTTCCCTTGCGTACAGGAACCCCCCCATTACTACAGCATTAATTAAAATGGTGTCACTACCATGTTAGTTTCCACGACACAGCTCATTTAATACAGGTACTATTAAGCACACTGCATCTTTGGTTGCGTATGTTTTCCAATATTCAGCTCCACTGAGAAACATGCTATATGCACTAAGACTTATTTATTTCCTTTTTAGCCTATTTATTGATAAAACAGGGCACAACATAGTAAAGACTGCCCTATAGATACTGGACTAACATAAACCTTCATACTGGAGAACATTTTTTCACTTTTCTGCTGGTCAATTTTGCAAAGCAGTGAAAGCAGGTAAAGATAATACAGATGTAAAAACACTGCACAGTAATGCTTTGCAGACTATGTGTTTAAATTACAGTACCAGCATGTGCTACTCCTCCCTCTATTTCTGATTTATTATATTTGCTCAACTCAGTTCTGGGAACAGTGGAAACTGGGAAAACACCACTGCACCCATGATTACGCATTCATTTATTTCCAATTAACTCCCATAAAAATCTGTGTAACACTATGAACTTATAAAATATCTACCTAAGGTATGTATTTTATAGCCTTTGGTTTTGTACACTGTTTGAGTGCAGAGTAAAAAACAGAAAGAAAAAAAAATGTCTTACTGCATTACAGAACCATTTTTGCAGTTAACTGTAGGAACACACTGAAGCAACATTCACCAGCTTTTCCAAACACAGAATCATAGAACGGTTTAGGTTGGAAGGGACCTTGAAGATCACCGAGTTCCATAGACAGGGATACCTCCCACTAGACCATATATAAAACACTGTACTATAAACTATATAAAACACTGGTTTTATTAAACATTCCATAGTATTAATTAATGATGTTTAAAATAATTTCCTCTAAACTATGTAATAAGGTCTGGAGTAAGTGGTGGACAGCATTTAAGGAGAGTCATTCCCACAGATGTAGATTTCAACACTGTAAGAAGCCACCCATGGATCATCCCAGCTTTCTTTAGCAGAAGGGTTGGCCACCTCTGTTGAGAGTCACACCTTGCCAGGTCTCATTTTGCCCCAAACACTTCTAAAAAAATTTTCCTACAATGGGGCTTTTTATTAAGAAAACCAACCTCTTAGATTGCTGTTTATTAGAGTATGCTTGATAATTTGTACCATTCTGTGGCAAGAAAAGAATTACGAGGAATAGAAGACATTTCAATGAACTGCTGAATGACAGCAGAATGAAGACTAAGAGCTAGACTTGTACAAGCTCAATCTTGCCAGCTTTTCTCCTTTTTACACATGCTTACCTCTTCCCCTGCCTTTATTCCAGAAACTGTTTGGAACAAAAGGAATCAAGAAAGACAGGTTCAAGCTGTTCGAGTCAAAAACCAAGGACCTTCTGTTTAAAGATTTGACCAAGTGTCTGGTCAAACTCCACGACGGAATAACATACAAGGAATTCCTGGGAGATCAATACTATGCTTCAGTTGCTAGCCTCAATACCTGCAACCCATCAGGTAACTGTAACAGCCCCAGGAAGAAGTCCGTGAATTGCAGTTCTTAGCCTTGTAGGCATGGACGGTTTCTTCTGTAGCTGTCCATCTGATTTTTTTAAAGCAGAATGAGGATAGCTCATGAAGATGCCAGTATACTTTTCTCAAAGTTCCTTGGATGAACTGAAAACAGTCTTGAAGGCTGCTGCTCTGGCATCAGAGGGAATCAAAGATTTCTACTCACCTTTAGGAAATATGCACTTTGAGAAACAGTGGAAAGAACCTACCCTGTCCCATCAGTGTGCGTTCAGTGCGATCTGTGATTAATATACATATTTTTTGTGGCACACTGAATATATTTTCCACATGATGACACTGTTGGCATGGGTGGGATGGGAGTGTTTAAAGGCAGGATCTGAACTCTCCCTGTCCTTTCCCCTTTTCAGATCTCCTCCACGTGTGTACCTTCCTTGAAGACAAGTAGCAAGATGGGAAGGACCGTTGCTGGAAGGGGAGCAAATTTCAAGTCATGACTCCTCTCGTGCCCTCAGCGCCGAACACCCACCCGCAGAGGGCCCTCTGCCTCCTTCACTGCTTTCTCTGCCCTTCCTCATCACTCTGAAAGTGGCTGTTTGAGACTTTACCGTTCTCTGCTGCTATCATGGCAAGAAATAAAATCTTAAATCTAAACAGGTGTCCTGAGATCTTTCAAAACGGTCCTGAACATGTCTGAAGATGGGATAGATGAATGGACTATGAAAGAAGCAATTTTCAAAGTACCTCCAATTCTGAACACAAGGACAGCATTATCAATTCCTCAAGACTGCTAAAGCCTACCACGCGAAGTATAGTTAAATGTTCATGCGGAGTTGTTAACATGGATAGCTATTTTAGGCAGCAGTAGCTTCCAACTTTTCCCTAGCTGAGCATCACTTGAGAACATACTGACATTACGTTCCTCACTTTACCAACTACACTCCAATCAGTAGTCGTCTTAGAATGAAGAGCCACAGAAGGAAAGTCTCAAAGTAAGCAAGCTGGTTACGTTAAAATCATACTAATCATAAGGTTGGTTCAATAAGGCAAAATTTGTCACCTCCCACTCATCTCTGTGCTTCCTGACCTACACACCCGTTTCCTCCACACCTTCCCTCAAAACCTTTCTCTTCAACCTCCTTCAAACCTCAGTCCTTACATGTATCATACCTACTCCATATCCTGAGTTTTTGAATG